TATTTAAATATAAAAAGTATTTTACAATTAAACATTATTGTAATCATTCTTAATTATTTAAATCATTTTTAAAAAATATTTTTTCATATATTTTAGATTACTTTTATATTTCAGAGATTCTAATATTTAAAGTTAATATTATTTAATGATTATTTTAAGTAATTATTTTTTTAAATCATTTTAAATAACCATTTATTGTACTTAAACTTGCAAAAATCACATCTTTTCCGTTTCAAATCGAATTTCGGCTTGTCATACCTCGTTTTCTTCAGAAAAATGCATATTTTATTTTAAAATTATTTTCAGTAAGTGATTTTGACTGTACTGACAGATTTCTGTCATTTACCCTTGTATGACTATTTAAATATTATTTAAATAATTAATAACCTTAATTATTTTGAAATTAAAAAATTATTTTGAAGCTTTTGATCGGGTGGCCAATGGGTCTTCCAAACACTTATGAACAGAACTATTTTTGAATTATATTTATTTTCAATAAAAAAAATCCTATTTCTTTTATTTTAATATATGTTTATTTTAAATTCCTTTTCGAAATTACCTATCCTACTAAATTGATCTAAGTTTAAGAGATCTGTTATTTCATGAAATTTTAAACATGGCTTTTATGCATGACGAGCAAATCATGGGGGAGTGGATTAGTGGATGATTGAGTTCCAATCATTCACTAATCTCCGTCATTAGTTTTAATTACTTTTTTTTGTTCGTCGTAGCTTGTATGTGTAGGTTGCACCACGAGCACTTAGCTTAGGCTCTCCTAGATTTAAGGATATGTGTGTTTACTGCTTTTATTATGTTTTTCATGCATTATTACCTTGAGGGTTAGTTCAAAACACGATTTAAACCCATATAACGTAGTGACACATTAAGGATAAAAATTAAGGACTCATCTAACGAACTTAAAAATATTCTAGGGGCTAGGATAGACTCCGGATTGATATGGAAACTTCAATACTTGAACTTAGTGACATCTGAAACATCCCAGAATTTTCTATGAATTTTTAGGAGTCTTTAGACCCTTAATTAACCAACCATAATTAACCTACTAAATAAGGCCCCGAGACCTTCCGAAAATTACAATAAATACATTTTAGATCAGAAAATTATCCATAATACCTCAAACTAACCAGAATATGATCCTTGACCTCAGATAAATAGGGCTACCTAGTTTGACTTTAGGTTGACCCCTAATTTGACCATAGGTGGAATTTATCATTTTGCCCCTAATAATTCATTAAAAATTATTAAAAATCCCAAATTTTTCACAAATACTTGGGAACACCCTCTCAGGTCATCCCTGACCTTTGGGGGTGATTCCAATCAGTTTGGAGTTGATTTGGATCAAAACAATAAAAACAGCCCTTTATTAGGAAATTTAGAAATTCCTTTAAATGCCCTAGATTTAAAAAATTCATAACTAATTGTAGAAAATTTCAAATTAGGCAAACTCACTTGTATTAGACTCCAATTATGGCCTAGTATTTATTAAAAATCTTAGGTTTTCATAAACTGGCCGAGATTAGAAAGTCAACGTTTTGTTCAACCGTAGTTCATTTAAGGCCCGAAATTTAGAAAATTAATAACTTTGCCTAGAAAACTCCAATTTCAGCCTACTAGCTGTCTAACTACTCGTATTAAGGTCTAGTATTTTCCTAAGGTGTTAGAAGACCCAAACCTAGCCCATTTCCCATAGTGACTTTTTAAACCCTTAGTCTAGTTCCTGGGAGGACCCGAGACTTTCTAAAATTGGCTAATCTCATTTAAACTTTAAATATCAGTACCCTCAACTCTTAAAATTAACCAACAAACTGAAATAATTAAAATGGACCCTAATCCACTAATATTTGAATTTCAACTAAAATATCCTTTTCAGACCCCCAACAAACCTGAACGATAGATAATTTTAACTAACTACCCTGCTTAGGACTTATCCAAACCACACTAGCCTTACACACATAAAATTGTTTGCTAGGGCACCACTTCTAGATTTAGGTTAGGCCGCTGGGTATTATTTTTCTGTTGTGTGCCGGAGCTTTCCGTGGTTTTTATTGCATGTTGTATGAAATTGAATTGGTATGTTTGCTTGCTTTTACTGCACTGTGGATGATGTGATGAGCGCTAGATTCACCTCTAGGTTAGGAACGTCATATACATATATATATACTATTCTTCCGTGCAGGTGGACATGCTCAAGCTAATAAAAGGGGGGCACCGTTATAATTTCTAATGTTGTCTTATGCAGGTGCTTACTCAGCCCCCCTGATATAATGAGGGCTAAAATCATTAAATAATTATAATTGCTACAGGTGGAGCTGCTTAGCCCTCATAATTAAGAGCATGGCTTGGCACAGGGTCAATGGTTTGAGTTATTTTCATTTTCATATAAACTGCTTGTGATTTTTATTAAGATAACCATGCAGGAGTCTAGAATTTTCTTTTTAAATTGATGTAAAATTTGTAATATAGTTAAGAGTTGTGAAAATGCACTATGAGTGAGATATTCTTATCCAACTCGAATTTCAAAAGAAGAAGGCATCCCTAAACGGGAGGGTCTTCTTCCATTTGGAAGATCAAGTTTGATGACTTTAGATATCCAAAGAGAAAAGATAATCATCCCCAAAAGGGAGAATTGTCTCTTCGTTTGGATATTCAAGCCACGACGGATCCAAGGAGCCCAAGGAGGAGAAATCCAAGGAGTCTAAGGTGGTGAGATCCAAGGAGTCAAGGAGGAGAGTTCCAAGGAGAAGAAGACACCCAGAAGACTGAAGATCAATATCTCATTCAAAGTCATTTGCGTCTGTCATAGGCTTAGAAAATCCGGGTTGTTGGCAGTGGTGCCCGGCCACTTTATTTTCTACATATCTGGGTTGTAATAAGGGCAATTTGTCTATGGCCATTTAGTTGATTATTCTGGATTTATATTGATGTGTTTACCTGATTGCGCAGTAGGATTACCTGCTTTTTCTAGGTTTCTTTCTTGCATGCCGTTTTTGCTTTCGCCTGGATTTTCGTTAGGCTCTTTAAAAATTGCAAAAAAAAAATTTACTCATAACCAAAATTTAATATTTAAGTTTTAAATAAAATAGAAACCTAAAGAACCTAGGGAATTGCTGGAATCGTCCGGGGTCGCATGCATATTATTGCATTTCTTCCTTTCCTTGTTATAAGACATCTCCCAGCCTGCGGGTAGAGTCCGGATAATCTGGCCTATGAGGATGAAGTGCCGGACCTAGGGAGACCCAGTCTTTTCAAAAAATTAATTTCTATAAGCATGTTTTTTTAAAGTTTTATGACATTCATGAGCTGACTTTTCATCTAGCATGGATTGCATTTGTAACCAACTAAATAAAATTTAATTGCATTAGCTAGGAGCATCGGACCCACATAAGTCTAGGATCACTTAGGAAATTTTCTAGATGTCGGTCTTATTTCCAAAGAACTGTACCTCCCACCCATCTTTCATAATTGACTTGATAGCATGGTTTTAAAGTGACTAGGTAGTTAGCCGGCTCACCTAATCCAGGCCGGGATAAGTTTAGGTTTTGCATTGCATTAGCTAGGACACGGGTCTTAGTGTTTCATAAAGCACTAAGCCCAACTTAGATTTAGGATTCGAGGCTGCTACATTCGGTCTCGTAGTATGCCTTAGATAGTAGGTAGGTCCCTTCCTTTCAAGGACTATAAATCCTACTTATCCGCGTCACAGGATGACGACACCTCCATCCTTCTCTCACGCATGTGATTGGATGCCTTGACTTTTATTTTTTCCAATTTCTCTTTAGTACCCTAGAGCCTCCGAATGCTGGTATGAACCACGCATGTTGATTCAGCCCTTCGGACATTTCTTCCTTTTGGATAGGATTTCTTAGTCTATACCCATGTGTCAATCCCACTTTAGGAGAGTATAATGTATGATCCTTAATCGAGAGTTTTCTCAGGCTCCGGCCTAGGATGTAATTAATCACGGGGGCTTGCGCCCGTAGGAAACTAGGTCCCACATCTACTAAACTCCATTCTAACTATTGTATCGAATGGGGAAAACCCGTGATTAGGTCGTGTATATTACTACTCATCGGGGTGTGTTGGCGACAGCCTCTATCCTCAATGGTTAGTCGTATGCACGATCCAATCTGTCCCATCCAATTGACCCGTTCGCGCGGTGCTCTTTCTGAGGTCCACAAGTTTCTGGCGACCACGGTGGGACGAGTTTCTCTCTTCATCTTTGGATTCTATATTATCCTTTCTTGTGTGTACTCCGGGATTGGTACTTCTTAGATTAGGTCCGTCCCACTCTTAGTTAGGGTCTTTCCAAAGTTAGGGTTTCTTTCCCTTTAACTAGGATTCTCCCTACTCTACTTCTTTCCAGCCTAACAGGCTACTTCGTCCCTTTATCGATTCTTATATATCTAATCCACTCTTAATAATCCATTCCTTCTTTCTTAATTTTAATTCTGATTTCTAACATTTTTAATTTCTTTTCTTGACAGCAGTGTCATGGCTTCCTTCGCTCCTTCCATTACTTTTGCTTTCGGTTCAGACGCGCGGGTTGCTTTCTCTGAGTCCCTGCTCGCTAGTCCGCCAGTTGGAGGGATCACTTTTGGTTCCTTCACTGACTTGGCCTTCGTCACTCTTGGCGAGCCGACCCCGGCGGAGGCTGCTGCATTCTCTCCTCCTCAGAGGAGAGGACGCGCAGTCATGCGCCCTTTCGGACGACCAGCTGCTCGACGGACAGCCCGGGCACCTGCTCGTCCCGTTCATGTACTTGCGCAGCCAGTGCGCGCTGTGGCTAGGCGACCAGTGCCTAGGCCACATCCTGTTTCAGTTGTTCGTCCTGCGATTAGGCGTCCAGTGCCTAACGCTCCCGCTGCGCAGGTTGCCCCGGCCCCTCAGCGCCGGCAGCCTGCTGCAGTTGTTCCACCTGTTCGTGGTGGCAGGGACGGTCATGGGCGATTGCGACCTCATCGAGGCCTGGCGCTGTGCTTGGTTGCACAGCTGGCCCCGGCCCCTCAGCGCCGGCAGCCTGTTGTTGTTACTCCCGTTGTTCCGGCATAAGTACCTCGCGTTCGGGTTTCCCCTCTCCCTTCCACTAGGAAGAGGGGTGCCCAGACCGAGGTGCCTTCGCCCTCTTCTGGCCGGGTTTCTGTTTTTGCTCAGCTTTCTCACCCCGAGACTATCGGGCAGACCCCGTCACTTCCAGTCGTCCCTGTTCCCCCTGCCACCCAGGCAGTGGGTTCAGATGTCCTTTCCACCTCCACCTCCGGCCTTGGGAGAAGGGCCCGGAGGAATAGGAATAGGAGGTTGCGTTTAGCTGCGTCCTAGGCAGAGAGGCAGCAGATGGTTGAGGCGATAGCTCACCAGGAGCTTGTTCAGAGGACGGTGGCTCCCAGACAGCGGAGACCACGACCAATTCCAGTTGTGCCTACTACAGAGATTGTTGTGGCTCCTGAGATTGAGGCAGTCCAGGGAGGATGTTTCTCCCTGCTTACACAGTGGGGACGAGGACTTTGCCCGCATTGCGGTGGCTCCTCCTGTTGTCACTACCTTTCCCCGGGCTAGGGTCCCCAGGGACGCTGGTGTTCGAGCCCTCACTCAGAGGATTCGACACATCGTCCGCCTAGCTCGTGGTAGGGGGCCTTTCAGTTACGGAGGCAGACTACGAGGAGGCTTTACAGTTGGCAGAGGGGGCAGACACCCCAGCAGCCTGCAGTTCCAGTAGTTAGGCCGTCAGCAGTTGCACCTGTGGTAGGACAATGCCCACGTCGTCGAGGACGGAGACAGCAGCAGGAGCCTGCCCGGCCTCAGGTCAGTTCAGAGGTCCCAGAGCAGCCAGTTATTAGTGCAGCACCCCGTCGTACCAGATGGGTTTGGAGATGTCGACAGGCGGACACCCCTGTCGACCTAGTTCCGGTAGTTGAAACAGAGCAGTTGCCAGAGGCAGAGCAGCCAGATGAGGCAGCTGATCAGATGGAGGTGGTGGCTCCTTCCAGGTCCGAGGCGGTCCCAATGGTTTGCGATGATGGTTCAGTGCCTACCCCAGATAGATCGCCAGTACGAATTGAGACAGAGTTAACCCTTAGCACTCATAGGATCACCTCTCCTATGAGTCCGTATATAGAGGTGATGCGACAAGCCTTTTTAGATGATGATGATGATACACTAGTGGATACCGATAAGGATGTGCCGGTACACCGGGTTTGTGTTGTTACCCGCAGAGGTCACTCGGATGAGAGAAAGCCTGAGGATCAGGATGAGCAGGGAGAGCCCGAGGTGGGTAGATCCCCAGATCAGTTGATACGGATGTTACGGACCTGAACCTCCAGGCACAGTTGGCAGAGATGGCCAGAGTCATGGCAGCCATGACAGCACAGTTGGCAGCCTTGGGGGCGTGCCCCAAGTGGCAGGTGTAGACGCTGCCAGTACTTTTAGAGATCAGCCAATTGTGCCTCCAGTTACACTAGATCCCCTGAGAGTGAACAGGGTCTAGAGAGCAATGCCTGCAGCACCTTCAGTTGTTCAGAGTCAGCCAGCTCAGTTGTCAGTGGGTCAGCTTTAGGATTTGATTGCCCAGAAGGTAGAGCAGGCCATTTCCTCCATGAAGACTTGAGAGTCAGTTAGCAGAGGGCGTCCTTACCCGGTAGAGTACGACCAGGAGCCCTACCCTCCTAGTTTTATCCCTCTTAGGTTTAGAGTGTTTGACGGGTTTGGGAACCCAAGGCAGCATGTGGCTCAGTACCGGGCTATATGTTGCAATATAGGAGGGAGTGACCCGTTGATGTTGAGGTTGTTAGTTAGCAGCTTGGCGGGGGTGACGTTTGCTTGGTACGCCGACCTCCCCAACGACTCAGTCAGGACTTTTGCAGAGCTGGAGCAGTTGTTCATCCAGAGGTTTGTCAGCACTGAGCACCCAGTTACAGTTGGGGAGCTAGTAGTCACCATATAGAGGCCTAGAGAGTCACTCACATATTACATAGTCAGATGGAGGAACCTCAGTTTGCAGTGTGAGCCACAGCTATAGGAGCAGCATGCAGTTGACATCCTTTTGAAGAACATAGATTGTCCTATTGCTCCGTACCTGAAGGGTTTCACCATACGGACCTTTGAGAAGCTACTGACCAAGGTCACCAGCCTACAGGACAGCATACCCGATGCAGTCCCTCCTAAGGCTGAGAGTCAGCCTTCGCGCAGACCTCAGCGGCAGGAGTTTTCAGGGGCACCTCCACTCAGGAGATGGGAGGTACACAGTACTCAGGTACCAGCAGATAAGGGCAAGAGACACTTAGGCAGTTCAGCACATAAGCTTTTCCTGTGTGAAGAAAATTTTTAAATTCTTTGCTGAGAAGAACATACTTACCCCTTTAAAGGGTATTCCTTACTAAGCTTTTCCTGTAAGGACTGCTGACTCTCTGGAGTCCTACGGGAGGTCCTGGGCTGTGCTACTGGCTGACTAGCTGAGTGTGACTGCTGTGAAGGTGCTGAACTACCTAAGGGCCTCTTGCCCTTATCTGCTGGTCCCTGAGTACCTCCCCTCTCCTGGGTGGAGGTGCCCCTGAAAACTCCTGCCGCTGACGTCTGTGCGAAGGCTGACTCTCAGCCTTAAGAGGGATTGCATCGGGTATGCTGTCCTGTAGGCTGGTGACCTTAGTCAGTAGCTTCTGAAAGGTCCGTATGGTGAAATCCTTCAGGTACGGAGCAATGGGACCATCTATGTTCTTCAAAAGGATCTCAACTGCATGATACTCCTATAAATGTGGCTCATACTGCAAACTGAGGTTCCTCCATCTGACTATGTAATATGTGAGTGACTCTCTAGGCCTCTATCTGGTGACTACTAGCTCCCCAACTGTAACTGGGTGCTCAGTGCTGACAAACCTCTGGATGAACAACTGCTCCAGCTCTGCAAAAGTCCTGACTGAGTCGTTGGGGAGGTCGGCGTACCAAGCAAACGTCACCCCCGCCAAGCTGCTAACTAACAACCTCAACATCAACGGGTCACTCCCTCCTATATTGCAACATATGGCCCGGTACTGAGCCACATGCTGCCTTGGGTTCCCAAACCCGTCAAATACTCTAAACCTAGAAGGGATGAAACCAGGAGGGTAGGGCTCCTGCTCGTACTCTACCGGGTAAGGACGCCCTCTGCTAACTGACTCTCCAGTCTTCCTGGAGGAAATGGCCTGCTCTACCTTCTGGGCAATCAGATCCTAAAGCTGACTCGCTGACAACTGAGCTGGCTGACTCTGAACAATTGAAGGTGCTGCATGCACTACTCTCTAGACCCTGTCCACTCTCAGGGGGTCTAGTGTAACTGGAGGCACAACTAGCTGATCTCTAGAAGTACTGGCAGCGTCTACACCTGCCACTTGGGGCATCGCCCCCAAGGCTGTCAACTGTGCTGTCATGGCTGCCATGGCTCTGGCCATCTGTGCTTGGAGATTCAGGACAGTAACATCCGTATCAACTGATCTGGGGATCCACCCATCTCGGGCTCTCCCTGCTCATCCTGGTCCTCGGGCTTTCTCTCATCCGAGTGACCTCTGCGGGTAACAACACAAACCCGATGTACCGACACATCCTCATCGGTATCCACTAGTGTATCATCATCATCATCTAAAAAGGCTTGTCGCATCACCTCTATGTACGGACTCATAAGAGAGATGATCTTATGAGTGCTAGGGGCAAACTCTGTCTCAATCCGTACTTGCGATCTATCTGGGATAGGCACTGAACCATCATCGCAAACCATCGGGACCGCCTCGGACCCGGAAGGAGCCACCACCTCCATCTGATCAGCTGCCTCATCTGGCTGCTCTGCCTCTGGCAACTGCTATGTCTCAACTACTGGAACTGGGTCGACAAGGGTGTCTGCCTGTCGACGTCTCCAAACCCATCTGGTACGACGGGGTGCTGCACTAATAACTGACTGCTCTGGAACTACCACCTCTGAACAGACCTGAGGCCGGGCAGGCTCCTGCTGCTATCTCCGTCCTCTACGACGTGTGCGTCGTCCAGGAGAAAATGCTGGCGGCCTAACTATTGGAACTGCAGGCTGCTGGGATGTCTGTCCCCTCTACCAACTGTAAAGCCTCCTCGCAGTCTGCCTCCGTAACTGGAAAATCGCCTGAGAAATCTGCTGGAGTATCTTCTCCCGACTAACAGACCCCCTACAATGAGCTAGGCGGACGATGTGTCGAATACTCTAAGTGAGGGCTCGAACACCAGCGTCCCTGGGGACCCTAGTCCGAGGCAAGGCAGTGGCAACAAGAGGAGCCGCCGTAATGTGGGCAACGTCCTCCTCATCCCCACTGTGTGTCAGCGGGGAGAAGCGTCCTCCCTGGACTGCCTCAATCTCAGGAGCCACAACAACCTATGGAGTATGCACAACTGGAATGCCGGAGTCTGCCTGGCATCTCCTCAATCATGGCCTCCGCTGTCTGAGAGCCACCGTCCTCTGAACAAGCTCCTGGTGAGCTATCTCCTCAATCATCAGCTGCCTCTCTGCCTCGGACGCAGCTAAATGCAACCTCATATTTATATTCCTCCGGGCCCTTCTCCCAAGGTCGGAGGTGGAGGTGGAAGGAACATCTGAACCCACTGCCTGGGTGGCAGGGGGAACAGGGACGAAAGGAAATGCCGGAGTCTACCCGGCAGTCTCGGGGTGAGAAAGCCGAGCAAAAACTGAAACCCGGCCAGAAAAGGACGAAGGCACCTCGGTTTGGGCACCCGCTTCTTAGTGGAAGCGGGAGGGAAAACCCGAACGCGAGGTACTTCCGCCGGAACAATGGGAGTAACAACAGCAGCAGGCTGCCGGCGCTGAGGGGTCAGGGCAGCCTGTGCAATAGGAGCGGCAGGCGCAGGTTGCCTGACTGCTGCACGAACAGGTGGAACAACTGCAGCAGGCTGCCGACGCTGAGGGGCCTGGGCAACCTGCGCAGCAGGAGCGGTAGGCACTGGACGCCTAACCGCAGGACGAACAACTGGAACAGGATGTGGCCTAGGCACTGGTCGCCTAACCACAGCGCGCACTGGCTGCGCAAGTAAAGGAACGGGACGAGCAGGTGCCCGGGCTGTCCGCCGAGCAGCTGGTCGTCCGAAAGGGCGCATGGCTGCGCGTCCTCTCCTCTGAGGAGGAGAGAATGCAGCAGCCTCCGCCGGGCTCGGCCCGCCAAAAGTGACGAAGGCCAAGTCAGTGAAGGAACCAAAAGTGATCCCTCCAACTGACGGACTAGCGAGCAGGGACTCAAAGAGAGTGACCCGCACGTCCGAACCGAAAGCAAAAGTAATGGAAGGAGCGAAGGAAGCCATGGCACTGCTGCCAAGAA